ATCATCGCATCCTGCTTTCCCAACTTTTTCCGAAAGCCAATGATAGAGTCTGGGTACAAGCCCGAGTCTTCCAGGTATTGCTGCCACCTGCTAAGCAGTACGTGTTCGAGCAGCTTGCCCACGCACGATGTAAGCGAGATCGGCCGCAGGTTCTCCACGCTAGGTGGCTTGCCTGGCTTAGGGATCAAGATCGTCTTGGCCGTTTTCCATTGCTTAGGCAACGTGCCTTCTCTCCAGCACTTGTTGAAGTATTTCGTGATGTGCTTAATTGCATCATCGCTTAAGTTCTTGATCGCCTTGTTGGTGATGCGGTCCGGGCCGGCGGCCGACCTGCCGTTGAGCCTTTGCATGGCCGCTCTCACCTCCCACTGCTCGATGTCTCTATCCAGGATCGCGTTGTCATTACCGGTATACTCCGGATGTACTATGCTGGGGGTAGACGGACGGTATCTCTCGTTTAGTCGCTTCTTAACCTCTGCTTCTCCCGCCCTGCTCATGGCTTCGTGCATTATTCTGGCTAACTTGTTGCCCTGGCTGCTCTTGGTGTTGGATTCATCAAGTAGATGCCGGAGCAAGTTCCAGCTTTTGCCTTTGCTCATCTGACCGTCGGCTTCGTTACATACCTCGTTCCACTGTTGAGTACAGAGAACCTTACAGTGAGCTTCGATGCGTCGATGAAGTTTCGCCACCTTCCTCCTTAGCTTCCTGTTTGTACGTTGCTCTGACCATCTGGCCTTAATTGACTGTTTGGCTTCCAGCAAATGTGCTAATTTACTGTCTACCCTCTCTATGTGTTCTTCCGCCTCGACCTTCTTGGTTGTCGCCTCTATCGTCCTGTTGACACAGTCGGTCCATTGATCAATGTCCGTAATCTCGGATTGCCAACTACCCAGCGCTTCCCGAAAGGCGACCCAGTTAGTGATTCTATGTTTTCTCCTTTCCGTGTGACTGCCGGGTCTCGTTATCGGGATTGTCGCCTCGACTATAAAGTGGTCGCTCCCTAAGTCTTGGCCTGTGTTACGCCACCCTACCGCTCCTGTTCGCCCTATCCCCCTGAAGAAAGTGAGATCTGGAGTAGTGTCCCGGGTAACCGATGATCCCGTCCGTGTGGGGTATGCAGGATCCGTGATGAGGCTGAGCCCCGCTTCCAATGCGTCCTGTAGCAGTTCTCTTCCCTTAATATTTGTTCGACTGTATCCCCACGCCTGGTTAGCCGCGTTGAAGTCGCCACAGATCATTAACTTATTATCCCCCGCCAGCCTGCATGCTCTGTGAAAGAGCTCTTTGAATCTTTGGTGATGATGATCCGGTTTACTATACACGTTGACTAAGAAGACACTCTCCTTTTGTCTCTTCTTCCCTACTATAACCTCCACCGTGCAGTGTTCAATAGTGCTTTTACCCATTACCTCATGCTCTATGAATGTGATGTCTCTGCGTACGAATATACACACTCCCCTGCCCTTCCCTTTCGGCAGCTCGCAGGCGTCCGATGGCTTGTTGAACGCTCGGTAGCCTGTGAGCTTTGGTGTCTCTGTGGCATTGGATTCCTGCAACATGATCACATCCGGTTTCCTGTCCACCGTCTTTAGGTGTTGGTGTAACACTGCTTTCTTCCTTGCATATCCGTTGCAGTTCCAGTGCCAGACTACTAAGTCCTTCACTGGCGAGGTGGTTGTTGCTGCGCCATGTGTCCCATCCATGATTGCTGAAGTGTAGCTACGATCCTGGCTTCCATACTCTGCATCTCCATCTGTATTTGGGCTTGTACTTGTAGTATCATCTGAGCCACGTTCTTCTCAATTTGTGCAACATTCTTCTCGAGCGATGTGAGTCGTTCCTCTAGCTTGTCGAACCTTTCCCCGTGTCTATCTAGAGTCTTCCGTTCTTTAAGGCTTTCGATGGCCCCCCTCTTCGGGGCCGTCTCCGCCGCTCTGTCTGTCCTGGGACCGACCTCTATTTCTGAATCCTCCTCGATCATGATTTCGTTCGTATTCGCTGCCTGCGCCGGAGACGGCTGCTCTTCCTTGTTCCTAACCAAGGCCGCTAGCTTTTCGTTAATTTCCTTTATTATGTTATCCTGCTCTAGGATCTTCTTTCTTAGTTTCTCGTTCTCATCCCTGAGGGCCTTTATAGCCGCCGAGTCTTCCTGTCTGTTTTTGTCGTGCTGGCTCTCTGCGTTAGATTGTCTGCCCCCTAGCTTAGGGGTCCTAATTGTGTCGGCCCAAGAGGTTTCTCCTCTCGGCCGCGAAGCTTCCCTTCGTCGGCTGATACTTCTGCCTCTTCTCTCCATGCTATCCACTCGACGCTGACTGTCCGCCCTCCTTCGAGATGTACTATTAGTCCTCTCGATAGCACGCGGTCCCAGCAGCGGGAAGTCTCCTGCTGTTATTCGGCGCTCCGAAGCGTCCGTTTTCTTTTCTCATTGGCGACACTTAACCACATACGGCTGCTTGTACTTGTTCTTGCAATTCCACTCTCCAGTCGGATGAGGTCCCCCGCAAAGCTTAAATTTTGGCTGGCATGCGAGCTCGTGCCCCTCCTCCGGGTCTACCTTCCCACAGCCAAAGCAGAACCTGTTGCCTGGGTTAGGGCAGACGTCCCTTCTGTGTCCTAGTTTACCACACGCCCTACAGACGTCGAAATGGTTGCGATATAGCCCGCATTTCATCAACACTATTCCGTACTTGATGTAGTGTGGTACCTTGTTACCAGCGAAAAGCACTATTACTGCGGTGGAGTCTCCGATCCGGTGTGCCTCTACGGCCGTGGGATTGTACTTATTGACGATATTTAGGGTAATGTCCTCTGCCGTTTCTTTGATGTTTATGCCTCTCACAACTCCCTTAACTGTCCCGTCAGGCGCCGTTCTATAAGCGCTGACCTCGTACGTCTTGCCTCCCTCTTCGATTGTCGTCATTCTAGCGTACCGCGTAGCTCGCTGCTCGTCTGGAGTACTGACCACGATGATGTTCTGCTGGGCATTTATGCCGACCGTGTCCTCGCTTGCCTCCTCTCTGGTGACCTTCGCCGCCCTTGTAATCGCCGCCATGGCGGCCGGGCCCCCCATCTTTGCAACGTTAAGTCCGCCACGCGGTCTGACTACGATCTTGATGTCCTCCTTCGGCATACTAACTGGCATCCTTACCCCCTTAGTGATTGCCGACGTAATTTTCTTGACGTAGTTAACCCTAGTTCTAAGTCTAGATTGGCGTTGAGTTGCATCGGACTCACCGCCGGACGTGCCGTTCACGATCTCCTTGATTCTCTTGCCCGAGACTTTCCATTCCTCGGTGTCACCCGGAGAGATTCGTTCCCCGGGTACCTCGACGAACATACGCCCGTCCACGTTGCCGATTCTAGGCGCCGTCTGCTGCGTCTCCTCTGGCGTTGCGGTGGCCGGTTGTTCGACCAGCACCTCGAACATGGCTGCCTTCGGGTTAGGCCTAGTGGCCGGCACCGATGGCCGTGCTCGACCTAGGCCTACTTTAGGCTTAGCGGGGTGCCCCCCGCCGCCCCGGGTGAAAGGTCCACGAATTCGGGAAACTTCACGTACCACTTGGGAAAGTCCGGTGTCCTTCGATAGTCCACACCTTCGCGCACACGTGAGAACCAAAATCCGGGTGAAATTGATTAATTGGCACCGCGTAAATTGGCTTTAACTCAGGAGCCGATGTGGAAACGCGTCCGCTCCTCTCGGCGACCGCAGCGCCCCTCCCGGCAGTTTGGTTCGCAATATTTATTTCTGCAGGCTAATCTAATGGTGAATTCCGCTCGCAAATCTCGAGCGCTCCAAAAGCGCTCCATTTGGAGCGCGCATATTCAGCTCGCAGATCTGGCTCAAGTTGGTCATCTTCCGCTCGTAGATCTCTGGCAGCGCCCGCTCCACGGAGCGCCCCAAACTCCGCCGAACTTGCTCTGCGGGGTTTCACAGATCTCTCCGGAAGTTGACAGAGCGGCCCACGTGATATCCGTCTAATTCGGCGGTGCTCATGCGCGGCGAGGTTGGAGAGATCGGCGGGCCGGTCGGGTCGTAGAGTTGAACTTGTTTGGGTGCGTCGGTTGTTTACTCTGGATTGTGATGGCTCCAACGCTTCTACTTCGCGTAGATCAGGGATAAAAAGCCGGAAATGTGGAGCGTGGCAAATCGTAAGCGCTGACTCTTTGATCGCGAGAGGAAGAACGAGAAAAGGAACGACAGAAAAACTGGAGGCAGACGCAAGGTTAGGCCTATTCATTCTGCAGCCAGTGATTCTTTACCTTTTTGCACTGCATTCCGTCGGCGTTTTCCCGTAAAATAAAGCAAGAAGTGGTTAGGCAACGACTGCGCAAGTGATGGTTTGTTAACTCTGTGTTTGTTAAAGTCGTACTACAAATCTGAACTCCACCGCTGACAATCGCTGTCCGTGCCCCGCCGCTTCGAGGCGGCCGAAAGGTATGTGACTGTGCCGAACGCGGACGTCTTCGTTATTTGTGACATGTGCGCCGTGGTACGCATAATTTCGTCCGGTCTGTGTCGCGTGTTACTTCTGCAGCTAAGCAGTGACAGTCGTCACTGGTCGTCGGAAAGATTAGCCGGCTGAGGCGTTGGTGGGACTGGTCAAGTTCGAGCAGCGGCCATTTTGTACGGCGGAGGGAAAAGGGGTGGGAAGGGGTGCGGGGGAGGTCGCTCCAAAAATGCAAATTTATCTTCCCCTCGTTGATTCGGAGCGGGTCCCACGGAGCGGAATTTTGCCTCCCTCGCGGATTTTGGAAAGCGCTCCAGATCTACGAGTGGAACTCACCATTAGTAATGCCTTTGTTGTTCCATGCTGAAGCATATTTTGTCTTAGTGCATAGAAACGTGGGCTTTCCTTACATAAGCTTAGTACAGTAGAGAGAATGCCATTATATGAATAAAAAAAGTCTCTTTGCCATACTGAGCGATGTCTCTACAGGATGTGAGCATCGATCTCTGCAAGTTGATAGCTTGAAGTAGTTCTGCTATCTTTCTATTCTAGGTTTGGACGACCTCATTCCTCACCTGGATCGCCAGAAGGTATGGTGGTGATTTAATTATGACTTTTCTTTTTATCGGTCACTGCAATGCATTGTCATCAGGCAGGCTAACGTGCTTTTTTTCTAATACCACTGTAGCCGCCACCCACATATACCATAGCCCGTGCCTCCTGCTTTGGAATACTCATGGCGGAATATGTTGTTGCTGGAATCATCAACATCGAGAGGGGCCTTTACAGCTACTACGATCTTCAGAAAAAGAAAGAGTGGTGGGGTATTTAAGGTGTTTTTGCATGACTATTTTGTTAGTGTTCTCAACAGTGCTATGCCAGGGGAAACTCCGACTATATTCCGTTTAACCTTGCAGCGAACTATCGGGAGTATTCACTGGCGGCCATAGCTGTGTGCGCGAATGCTGAGCACGTGTTGATGGCGAGCTTCCACAGTTTTTTTGCAGAGTGCATTCCGCACCATCAAGAGTGCCGGTCTTAGCAGCCTATTGAAGTGAGCTCGTTCTGAGCGTGCGCTCTAAACAGCACCCACAAATATGGCGTCCAGTGAATACTCCCTATAGCGGGCGCTACAATCGATCCCAGCCAATCCATTGCTGTACGAGTGTCAAGTGATCTTCCGGAGATGCATAGCTATGCGTGAAACAAGTAATCATGTGATATATTCCCCGCACTAGATTGGTTCGGATAATTCAAAGCGTTTGCTGCGGTCTATCATAAAGCGATTTGTACTTTTACTTTGACTGCTATTAGCATGTGAAAATTATCTGGTGGAGCATCGGCTAGGCTCAGGGGCAGGCTTACCAATAGACATTGGAGGCGGCTGTCTAGAACAACAAAATGTGCAGGCCAGCAAAATTCGTGGGGCGGCAAATTGCGAAGGATGGCTAGAATTGCACCGACCCTGTTCAAGCTAACTCTGCTCTCACAGCACAAGGTAGCTACTATCCACATTACAATTTCCGTAGAAAATGGATTGCAGCACAGATACCTGTCATGTAACACCGGTTTATGGCATTCACTGTTTGAGTGAGCTCCACAGTCATCTTGCTCTCAGCTTCAAACAACTGTCGGCCTTTGGAATACAGGTTTCGACAAACTGGAAACCATACTTCCAGTGTATCAAAACTCTGATGCATGCACTTCTGAAGCACACATGGGCAACTTCACTTGTTTTGCACACCGGTCGCAGTCTATGGCATAGACACTGACAAAAATTTCATTTTAAACATTTTTCCAAGGAAATGAGAGAGGGAGGGAAGCAGCACAGGCAGACATTCAGGCAGGCATTGTGACTTACAAAAGTGTTTTAGGCAGCTACGTGCTAAATCCACCTCTGGGTATGTTTTTTGATATTTATTGATTTACTCTTACTTTGATTGACTCTTTGTTGAAATTTATTGATTTACTACTGTAGGCAAGGTCGTACCCACAGTACCGAGTACACGATGCAAAGTGTGTGAGCCCAAAGTTGCCAACAGCCACATTTCATGCAGATGTAAATGCCCAGCCGTTTCTAATATTGTAGTCAACTCGCCACCATGTCCCAACCGTGCACTTGTACGAAGTTCTATGCAAATGCCGTACAAACGCCTGACCTAAGCTACCGGGTGATTCAAGGAGACGGCAGGCTCTTTAAGTCGACCGGAAAAATCGGTTTCTTAACTTATCGCGCTACGACTTTGTGCAGCATTGCCCACAGATGGTGCATTTTTTTTTGTGTAAAATTTGCAAAGAGCACACTTACCTGGGGAAAAAGTAAAGAAAGAAAAAGGCTTAGCTCCTATGGAAACGCAGCGACGCCACCGGTCTTCAAACAACACGGCGCCGTTTCGCACGGGAGCCAAGAGATGGCGCAAGCGGTCGCGACGCCAACTGCCGCCGACGAACGAGCAGACGACGCCGAGAGCCGGCGTATTTAGCAGACAAGGAACTGCAGTTCCTCGTTGTTACCGCGCCTGTTTTTGTTTCTGCGACTGTCGCCGCCCGCGGAACGCGCTCCGCTTTTGAGTCGAAAAGATTGTCTGCTAAAGACGCAGGCTCTCGGCGCCGTATGCTCGTTAGTTGTCGGCGTTCATTGCGCCATCCCTTGTCTCCCGTGCGGAACGGCACCGTGTTGTTTGAAGACCGGTGGCGTCGCTACGTTTCTATAGGAGCTAAGGTTTTTTTCTTTCTTTACTTTTTCCTCGGGTAAGTTCACTCTTTGCAAATTTTACAAAAAAAAAAAAAAAAATGCACCATCTGTGTGCAACGCTGCACAAAGTCGTAGCGCGATAGGTTAGGAAACTGATCTTTCCGGTCGACTTAAAGAGCCTGCCGTCTCCTTGAACCACCCGGTAGATTAGACTTTGGATTAAAACTTGTGTTTGGGCGAGTTGGCTCATACTGATTTAAAAGGTTAAAAAGCGCAACACAACAAGGACAATGAAGACACGAAGACGACAGGACTAGCGCCCGTCCTGTCGTCTTCGTGTCTTCATTGTCCTTGTTTTGTTGCGCTTTTTAACCTTTTAAATTAGACTTTGGAGTCTACCAGTGGAGTGCGGCATAGTTTGGTAATCTTCAGATGAAAAAGTGGAGAGAAAAAAAAGGATCTTTTTACTGGTGCTAGAACAAAACATTTTGTTGATTATGAAAACACTTCTTTCCTTTCAGGTCTGATCACGCATCATTTCAATTCCGGACGCTGTCCGAACTGACTGTGGGCATTTTGGGAGCTGGAGTCATTGGACAAGAAAGTATGCACTGTGCCACTTTGCTGTATATTTCTGAAGGGTTAATTCCATCAGTGTCCTATTATGTCATGCTAAAGAAGAGGATTAGGCACAATTTTGAAGATTTGACTGCTTGACCATTGTGTTATATCTTCTGTTGTAGAAAGACATAATATAACAGGTTTGTTTTCTTGTAAGTGCAGGGATTGATATTCTTATTTTGCAGTGTCTTACTTAAGCTACCATCTGTGGAGGCCACTGTCCCAGCCATTTTCATTTCCATCTCCCGAGATGCATACTTTAAATTTAGTACTTATACGCTGATAATTATTAGAGAGCATCTGGAACATGAAAGGAAATCTATTTTAGGTTAATGACTACCTCCTGCGTCAGCATCTCGACTGTTTCAGGTCAACTGTGACTTCACCATTGCCTTTGCTGTCAAGCCGGTTAACTGTTGACTGAATAGACTGTTCATTTTTAATATACTGTGTGCAATGGACGGTCACTGGCAATATGAGCTGGAATGCACGAGTGATGACCTGGCAGAACAGGACATGTAGACTAGCAGACGGCAAGCAAAGTGCCAGCAGCAGCAAAGGTGTTAAAAATTCTGAATGCACCCACGTGCAAAATGCCTTTGCACTTTTCCTCGCAAACATGGCAGTGTCCAAGTCAGGTGCACGCTTCAGGTGTGTGCTCACTATCAGGCATCACATGAGTGGGATGTGCATCTACAAATTCGAATACTGGTACTGCCCGATGGACTGCGTGGTCTGTATTGCCTGGTCACCGCTCGCGCCACGGTGTAAGGAGACTGAGGTGGACTAACGCAGTACCAGAAGCATCAGAAGTTCCTTCCCATACTTTATGCGCGCCACCGGCAGGCGCTACGGTCGTCGAGGCTGACGATCGACGTACGTTTGTTACGCTTAGCAACTGCAGCGAAGCTTCGCACTTGCTGAACTGAACATGAAAGTTAAACGTGGTACTTTTTAAGCGGTGGGGGACATTCCTGGCGTTACATAGGTGTATTGACCTTTCAAATAAATAAATAACAGGTTTTTGGCTGGTGTCATTTTTAGCATTCGTATGTGTAGGCGCATGCTACATGCTGGGTTGTGGTATGGTAAACATTAGAGTGTGTACAGAGCAGGCCCTCAAAGTCAAGTTCACTATCGGCTTTTAAAGTTAAACAAAAGGATAAGTCACGTTATTGGCCTACTTTTTAAGAGATATACCTAGTATATGTTCATGGAACACACTTGCACATACTGCAAACAACTTCATTTTCGCAGGCTCAATATTTTACGAATTCAGCGAAGTCTGCTTTAAGAAATGTTTTGCGAATCGGGGTCAAAGTTGCGCGAAACGAGCGCTTGGACATCTTCGATACAGTTGACATTGCCAGAACACTGTGCCGCTTGCTGAATGGGCGGCACTGACAATCCAGCAAGTGTCTTTTAAAGTGGTAGCTTTATAGGCCCAACCAGGCTCGATGTTGCGTTATCAAAGACACGTAATGCCCGTTAATGAAGCGAGGGTGGCTGAAGTGGAGGTCATGTATGAAGGTTAAGTAACGCCGGTGGCTGAAGCGTAAGCTCCGGTCGAATAACACCGGCTGCTGACGTGACGTGACGTCCTCGACATTGTTCTAGATGTCACCCTTGACGTCGTCTTTGGTAGAACCCTCTAGGAGGTTGTTCTTGATGTAGTCCTAGACATCGTTCTTGATGTCGTCCACCAGGACATTGTCCTAGACGTCGCCCTTGACGTCTTCGTCTAGGATGTCGTCCTTGAGATCGTCCTCGATGTTGTCTTGACGTTCTCTTCTAGGATGTCGTCATAGACATCATTCCTGATGTCGTCCTCGACGTCATCCTTGAGGTCGTCCTAGATGTCATTCTTGACGTCGTCCTTGATGTGTGTATGGTATATTACAACCATCTCATCACCGTATCTTTTCCTAATTGTTTTCCCTAACGACGATCTTATTAGGCTAGCACATTTCATTGTGCTCGGCAAAGTAGCCAAACATGCAGTCAATTTTGTTTTTGTTCTTGTGTTTTTGTTAGATAGCTTTTGCAATCTGGGAACTTCGTTGACACCACGTCTTTCGCCAGAGCGGCTTTCCGTAGTACAATTTCGAGGACATGGCCGATGTAGACAGCTTTTCACGATTTGGTCACAAACTTCGACTGAAAATGTCTCTCGCAGATTAAGTATGTTGGCTGCAGCAGGCAGTCTTTGCGCGGGATCGTGTGATGCCAAACCTTCAGGCAGTCTTCTTTCTTGTCTAGTAGCAAAAAAGGATAGCTTCTCTGTGCACGTCTCATATCCTGCATTGCACCGTATCACGAAGCACTACTTCACCATTGCCGGCAACTTCTGGAAGTCGAAACCGACCAAAACAATACGAGATCCACGCGAAAACCGCGCAAAACTATGCGGCTTTGTAGGCCGGCACACGTTACCACTCATGAAAGGACAGCCTCCTCAGCCTCCAGGTTGGTGGCACGCCCTTGTGACAGTGGAGAAAATCGTGTGCCGATTTTAGACACTGTGGCTCTTCGGTGGAGGCGCAGCGTTAAGCCTAAAGCCCCTCTATCCTGGAAAAAGTGGCGCCATTCTTTGAACTAGCCGCCGCGCACACTATTGGCCAGTCGTCACGTGACATCTGGCTTTCGGTTTTGGGATTCCGGTTGTCATGAATTTCCCAAGATGTTGCTGATGTTGCTACGCCAACTTGCCAACTTGGCATGACAGGCTGATGCGCCCGTAGAAAAGTCGACCGGAAAGCTTTCCAGTGTTCCCTCTGAAACGGAAAATGAACCTCGGAGGGAGATCTTGCTTCACGGAATCGCTCAAAAAGATTTCAACCCGACCGGAGCCGTAAAGTTATGCGAGGTAGGTGCTCTGTATACTCATTAGCACGCAAAAAGACAGCTGTTTAGAGTGAGTTATGCATTCCATTCCACCGGAAACGCGAGCGATGTAATAGCGAGCACAACATTGCCAACTTGGCATGCAAGGACGCTCGTGCCATGAAAGTAAAGGCCCCTACGCACAGTTACGTTTGAGAGCGTTTGACTGCGTTGCGTCGAGAAACGAAAGCGAGTCACCGGCACATCTGTGCTTCGTATGAATCTAATTCAAGGAATCGGTTGGCACGCGATAAAATAAGTATGGATGTCCTGCGTTCTCGCAGTCGCAACGCAGTGAAACGCTCTCAAACGCAACTGTTCGTCGGGGCCTTAAGTCGTTCAAACGCCCTGCTCCTGCTTATGGCATCGGCGTCGCTCCCAATTACGGGTCAATTACGCTCTCGTCAAGTGTTGCGTACGTGCTCGGGTGCCATACTTTGTTTCGCACAGATAGCTTGCAACGCTGCCGCAGCTTCAGACCCGAGCATTGGGCTGTATCTATACTCTGTTTCAATATACATGCGAACGCAACCAGTGCGTCAAACAGCAGTATGCTTTCTCTGACGACGCTCTTACTGGACGAGCGTGTGTGCTTAGCTCGCTCAAACTGCGTTCGATCTCGTAGCGTCAATAGGGTCTCCTTCGCTTGTAGTCTTATTGAAACGAAAAACGCAAGCAAATAAAACATTTGAGATCAACCCCACACTCGCGCCTGCAGCTTTGACAGCGCGCAAACTTCACGTGCAGGTCTTTGGCAGGCTAACCGAAGATCTGCAGAAAGGGCGTTTGAGGCGGCTTTACACATCGTGCTCTCGACTAAAGTCCGGTCTCTTCAATCTATTACAGGGCCACTTCAGTATCGACCAATTCAAAGCACTGATCATGCGAAACAAAGGAGCGCAAAAAATTTAAGAAATATGCTCTCCCAAACATTTCTTTTTTTGTTACGTTCAACCATGAGAGTAAACCACCACTGCAAGGGAACAGGAAATGTAAATGGTATGTACAACATCTCACAATATATATATATATTTTTTTTTTCTTCAATGAGACATGTTGCATCAGTTTTATGATACACATTCTATGCATAAACTGATGATTTTGGATGCCTCTTTTACAAATTGCAGTTTCATTTGTTTGTTTTGGTTGCCTCCCTAAAGTCCCCGAGGCACCCCCAGCAAAACCTGAATAGTACATCACAAGGTAGTTCCCTCAGTACTGAAACATCCCCAGGACAGACTGCTGCAGCAACCACAGCTTCTCTTTAGCTTGGCTGTCCGATACTGTTTCGTAATCGACCGAGGCCTATCTACCACTAGTGCCATCTCTGTCCATTCTAGGAATGTGTGTCCTCTTGAGGGCCCCCAGCAAGGTCCAAGCGGAGCTTTTCCCTCGGGGCAATCTGCCGCAGTGACCACAGCTGTTAATGAGTTTGGCAGTCCGATACTCTATCCAGGTCAACTGAGGCCCGCCTACCTCTAGTGCCGTCCTTGTTGATTCTAAGCGAGTGTGTCCTCCTGAGGCCTTCCAGCAAGTTCCAAGCGGTGCTGTACCGAACCTAACTTTCCCAGCTTCCCCAGAGCAGCCTGGTTCGGCAACCCCCCCCCCCCCCCTCCCCCAAGCTGCTGGTGAGTTTAGCATAATGATACTGTTTCCAGGTCGACCGAGGCGCACTTGCAACGACTGTTGTCTTTGTTCATTTATTAATTCTAAAAGTGTGTGCCGTGCCATGGCTGCCCGAGCAAAATCTGAGCAGCGCCCTACAGGCCGTTGCTTCTGCAGCTTGTCCCGGACAGACTGCCGCAGCAACAGCTGATGAGTTTTCATTTTCGACGGCTGCTTATTTTCTAACAGAGTGCAGACAGTTACACACTATTACTTACATCCGATCTTATTGTCTCACTGTTAGCCACTTAACAAGACTAAAGTAATAATCTTTTTTTTTTCTTTTTCAGGCACACTGTTTACACTTGATATCTGACAGTATCATCGGAATGCTAGTTTTTCTGGTGTGCTGATGATAAACAAAAAGCTACAAAGAACTATATTCAATGTAGATACAACTGATATTGGCGCAATGACAGGAGTATCACCTGCAACGTGAAGGGAACAATTTACAATTCGGACTTAAGCGCTTTCTCGTTGCAGATCAACTTAAGTGTCTCGAAAGTCCACTATGAAGGGGACTGCATGGAGTAAAGGGAGCATCGAGAAAGTTTTTAAGACTCATCTTTCGTGTGTTTCCCATGGTTTCAATGTGGTACTGGGGAATCGGGGTATCTTTTGCCTGTAGAATGCACACTTCATGGGCATCTACAGGACTTCAAGTTTGTGTCAGACATAATGCACAAGCTGATGGATTCTTTAGCATACAAGGTGAGCCAAACTTGCAGCATATAACACACTTGTGCATCCTTATCTTAAGTAGGCATCTGAAGTCGGATACCTGCAGACCCGTCTCATCAAGCAGCTTGATGTTTAATTCCATGTGTTTCGTACAATTTATGTCTTCAGGTGTACCGTACCAGTAACAGCATTAGAAGGTGTGAGGGTTTTAGAAGTATTTTATGATATATAAAAGTGACTGCACCTATGAGTAAAGCTACCCGTACATTTGTGAAGTGTTAAGAAAGCCTTTTGATTGTGTATGGTGTGTCTCCGTGTCATTTATCTCCTTTTTTCATTCCGTGATCTCTTTTGTTGTGTACTCAGCATGTATTCTACCTATAGTGAATGCTCCTGCCGCGGCCTTTTACTGGGCTGGGAGTTTTGTGAAATAAATAAATTGTGACTTTGATTTTTTTTTTTTAACATCATCTGTGCTTGTGTATTTTCATGAAAATTTTGATCTCGCAATCGCTTATTTTGCATTGTTCTCTGGGTGTGATTTGAATTATTTTGCCTCATTTTCTTTTACTGAAATAACCAGCAATTGCTTGACTCGGGAACTAGGTGCTGAAACCGAGCGCTAGTTTCCAAGTCTACACCAGGGCGCTGGCCCAGGAGTCTAAAAGCAGCGTAAATCGTAATTAAACCTGCATTTTTTTTAGTATGAGCGAATAACAGAAAAGATGCAGACACTGTGATAAAATTACGGAGTAACCAAACTAAACGAAAACAGAGTTTTCATTTCTAAAAACGGTTTCATCAAATAAAATAACAAAAATAGTATTTATTATACGCTCGGAAAAGTAGCGGCACCGCGTAGCCCCGTAGCGAAAGGCCCGCGGTGTCGCAAATTGTTACGGCATGCACAGAAATACGTAGCGATTTTTATCATTACTAGTACTGCAGGCAGCTTAAAAGTGCTAGCTTAGCGCCAACCACAACACTTCCCCGATTAGAAAGAAAATAGTATCTCGCTTTCTAGGCCGCCAAATTGTTTTTAGCGCCCGTATGCCCAACCCTCCCGAAAGCTCGCCAAGGACACGCTTTAAAAAGTAGTCAATCATTTGAAATCGTAGAGAATAAAATTGCAATTTGGCGGTTTCATATGATGATTAAAAACGACTTGCAATTCCTGCAAAGCCGAACCCTCACGAGGCACTGACGTAATACAACTCGATAGGAACGATTATCCAAAATACTTTCAGGATGTACGGTTGGACGAACAGATCTAGAGTGGCTTCAGGACGGTCGGATGCGAATGCAGGCTCTAAATGAGGTCATCGTCAAACTTGTATGACAAGAAAAGTCTACACGATCGGCAACTCGCCCGCTCCTGCTGTGAAGCCGAACACTCACGAGACACTGACCTAATGCAGCTCGGTAGGGACGATTATCCAAAGCACTTTTGGGATCCGCGGTTGGAGAAACAGATCTAGAGCGGCTTCAGGACGGTCCGAACGAATGCGGGCTCTAAATGAGGCCATTGTCACACTTGTCTGACGAGAAAAGTTCACTCGACCGCTTCAGCTGGCCGAGACGTCAAGACGCTTGGGAAATTCCAAAGGGCGCCTCCGTCGCAAAGCGGAAGTTAGAGGTGGGGTAAGGAAGGTTTTTAGAGGAGAAGGAAAGAGAATGCACCACTTTTCTAGATACAGGGACTTTAGTTACGCCACCTGAAGTATTTTTATCACCGTGGCTGGTGTATTCCAGCTCATATCACCGGTGACCGTGCAGCCTTATTGGGTGTCTCAGTGGGTGTTGCAGTAGTGCGGCTCAGTAGTCCTGTCATTAAGTGTTACACAGTCTTTGGTTTCTAGTTTGTGTGTTTATACCACTGTCATTAGCTTCATTTGAGCTTTCACACTTCTGTTTGCCGGTGAAGCTCTCTATTGAGATGTTTTCAGATTTCTTTGGTAGTGTTCAGTGCCATAGAACTTGTTTCATTCTGTCTCACTGCCTTTAGGGCCACGGACATGTGTCTTCACTTGTGCATGTACCACCCGTTTTTATGTAGATGGTTGACCATTTTTACATAGCTTATTTCCACTTTTCAGTTGCGAGCACGTTGAAGCGGTTTGGCACGGCAGTTCATGGACTTGCACGAAGGAGGAGAAGTTTGGAGGAACTGACACGGTCGTCATTTGAGATGTAAGAGTTTCGACATTATATACATGCATCTTACAAAGGTGTTATCTATGGGTGGATGTCTTCCGGTAGAACTCACACCCGGCCAACTCACCTCGAGCAGACATTGCGAAATTTGGGTTATAACTAATTTATGCGTGGTTTATGGAATGCAACACACACTGTGTGAAATCTTTATTCAGAGCTAAGAGCTGTACTTCTCAGTAGAAGCATCCCAGAAGTTCAGAATAAGTGAAAGTGGCACTACTGTAAAGAAACAAACACTTCTAGTCTATTTATTTTTTATCCCATTGGACTAGAGACATTGCAGAGGGGAGTGGGTTATACAAATATAAATAGCAAGAAAGAGGTAGGCAGCAGTGAGACAACTGTAGAACAGTTAACGTTAGTCATTGCAGCAATAGAAAAGTCCGAGGACACCTAAGCACTTCTTATCAGTTGTAAATGCGAAAGCATGAATGCCGTTCTTCCGCTCCCTTACTTTGTCTGCGCGTAGTGGCGTGGACCGCCACGTTTTGCTAGTGGCGATGTAGCGGCCGCCGGCCGATCGTGCGCTCTCGTGAAGTGGCCGTGCCGCACTGAGCTCGGCCGTGCAGCCTCTCCGGAGTTTGCCCGAGTGGGCTGTGCGGCTAGGCCCGAACCTCTTACCAGCGACGGGGTCGCTGCGTGCACTGCGCCGCCAGGAGAGGGTTTCTCTGGTGGCGCTTTTTGGAACTATGCCGCGCGAGAGACAGTGGGAGCCTCGTTTCTTGAAACTATGGCGCGCGCCAGTTAATGGGAGCCTTTTCATCAGATAGCGTCTTCACTTTGCTCCACTGGGACAGAAAGAGTTTAGTTGCCTGTTGGGGCGGGTTCAAAGCTGATGACGTCGGTTCGCTCCATGGGACAGTTAATGCTTTCGCATTAAAAATTAATCATGACATTTTTAAAACTGCTATTAGCATCAACAAGTTTACAATTTTAGACATATGTGGGAAGGTCATCCCAATTGAAAAAGCTGTTGGGGAAAAATAATATTTAACTTTGTGTCTATGTCCATCGGCACTAGCATGTGCTGGGGAGTAGTTAATTATTAATAGTTGCCTGAAAGATGAATTTTAAAGATTTATATTTTGAAACAAGCCCCGGCCAGACACTTTTTTTTGAAGCAGTTCCTTATCATAAGCTGGTTTTACTTGCTGATAGTACACTGCACACTAAACATTGTAACACCCATAGTCGTGTAAAAAGGCTGTAAGAAGGGTGTACGTTAAGAAAAACACCCTTTTTACACGCTTTTTACACTATTTCTGAATATCGGTGGGTGTAACAAGGGTGTGCTGACGTTTTACACCCTTTACACGCCCTCTTTACGCCTCACTTGCAGCGATGGTGTCTGAAATCGTGTAAAAAGGGTGTATGGGCGAATTTTACGCCCTTTATCCACACGGTGTGAAAGGGGCGTAATGGTGTTCCTGTCCAATAAACCCATGGTTTCATAGCCGTTCATATTTATTGCTTTGGTGAAACTGTTGTTGATGTACACCGGTACAAACATCGAGTATAATTAATCGCCACACGGAGTCGCGTATGATTAGGAAGTGCTAGCGAATAGTTTTTCTAGGGCTGGGTGTCGATTAAAAATTTTAACCCGATTAATCGCCACCCTTTAATCGATTAACTAATCGATTAATCGGTTGTCTTGCCTTTGAAGACTTGTTTTATTCTCTGTTACATGGCGCAAAGGACATTTAGAATTGAGGATAGATATAGTTCAACGATTCAAAGACACATAGTTTTGCTCCACCTCCGAAGACAAAGAAGTTTGTCCACATTCTCCGACAGGAAGACAAGGAGTCAGAGCCTGGGCGATGCTTTCTTCTTTTTTCAGACAAAGGAACCTCGATGAGATGGCGTTGATTGTAGTCTGCGTTTTGGCGGATGGTCCTTGCTGCAGCTACATGTGTGCTTCGCCTGTAGGCGATACTGAAGCGAACTTACGCTTCCACTGTACGAAAACGGCTTTCTGCAGATGATGCAGTGGACTTCCTTCGAGTTAAAAGCTTCACCGCTGGAGTTTACTTTAAACCCAAACTTTCCAGCGAGATTGCCTTTCATACTCGTGAACTCGTCCATTTTTACGTGCCGAATACTGGAACAAGTAACCATGGCATTGTTAGTTTCAAAGCTGTTTTTCTACTTGTTTGTCTTGCCTGGGCAGGATTTGTAATAGATCCTCAACACGTGAGGAGGACAAAACATATTTATTAAGCGTTTTACGCTGTGGGGTGGATCCTCAATTCAGGTACCCATGTGCCGTCCTGGCTCGATCTGCCCTCTCCACCAGCAAGAGCTGATCTTGAGGGAGGGAGCTGGACAGCAGTGTCTCCCACTGCTCGGGGGTAGGGGAAGGAAAAGGGGGTGACATGTCTGGGTTGTTGTCGCACTCCCATATGATGTGTCTCAGGGTGCCGGGTTGGTTACAGAATTGACATTGGGCGTCGAATTGTGTGGGGAATAGCAGGTGCATCCTAATTGGATGGGGAAATGTGTTAGTCTGTAGTAATCTGAGTGTGGCTTCCTGACTTCTCGTGAGGGAAGGGTGTGGTGCGGGTAATGTTCTTTTGTTGAGCCTGTAATGTTGTGTAATTTCTTGATAGGTCGTGAGGGGTGTGGGTTCCAGTGTCTCCTCCGTGGCCTGGTGGGCGAGGTCTCGGGCCGTGAGATGGGCGTGTTCGTTTCCTCTCATGGAGGAGTGGGCTGGGGTCCACACAATGTCGACCTGCCTGTCCGGTGCCTTGTTTTCTAGGATACGTAGCGTGAGAGGTGCCACCCAGCCCGACTGGAAGCTACGGCATGCCTCTTGCGAATCCGTGATTATTGTGGAGGTTCTGGTTTGTGTGAGGGCGAGCGCGATGGCAAGCTCTTCTGTTTCTTTAGCCGTTCCCCGTGGGACGGAGGCGCTGGTCAGGTACTTGTGCCCGTCTGTTACCACTGCCACCATGGCTCGTTTGCCGTTGTAGTTGGCTGCGTCGGTATACGTCGTCGTGGGTATTCTGGAGTATGTCTTATTTAGTGCCCTTGCTCTTGCTGCTCTGCGGCCCTGATGGTGGTTCGGGTGCATGTTTCGAGGGATTGGGTAAACAAAGATGTGTTGGCGCCACGATTCCGGGAGTGCCAGCGGCAGGGTCTGGTCCCGTGGAACCTGCTTGAATTTAATCAGCAAGTTGTGGCCGGTTTGAGTGTGAGCGAGTCGTGTCCTTTGACTTGACAAGTGGCCCTCAATGAGTTCCCCCACGGTGTTATGTAGCCCCATACGAAGTAGCTTGTCCGTAGATGCGTTCACGGGTAATCCGATTGCCTGTTTCAGCGTCTCGCATATGAGCACGTCGAGCTTGTCTTGTTCCGCTTTACTCAGGGTGACGTAGGGAGCAGCGTAAGTTATGCGCGAGAGGACGAAGGCTTGAACTAACCTGACCGTATCGCTCTCTCTCATGCCTCTGTGTCGGTTCGTGACTCTGCGTATCATATGTTTTACTGAGCTGTTGCACCATTGCGTCGTTCTTGCCGTCCGCTTGAATTAGCAAGCCCAAGATCCTGAGGGACTTGCTTGGCTTGATGTCGTGCCCTTCGAGAGTGACGTGGATGTTGTCGTCGTCCTTCTTGGTTCGCCGTCTCCCCACCACGAGAAGCTCGGATTTCTGTGGCGAGCAGGACAGTCCGCAGCTTTTTGCGTATTGATTCACCGTCTCGGCGGCGAGCTGGAGCGTGTCCTGCAAGCCTCCGAGGGAGTCGGTGCCCGTCCAAAGGGTGACATCGTCCGCGTAGAGGGCATGGCTTAAGTTCGGTATTCGTCCCAACTGCTCAGGGAGGCCCAGGAGCGCGATGTTGAATAACAGGGGGGACAGGACCGAACCTTGGGGAGTCCGTTTGCATCCCAAGTTGATGGGTGCTTTGGAGGTGATTTCCCCAATCTTAAGTGTGGCTGTGCGGTTAGAGAGAAAGTCACTTATGTAGTTATATGTCCTTTCCCCGCAGCCTGTCTTGACTAAGTTTCGGAGGATCGCCTCGTGTGCTACGTTGTCGAATGCTCCCTTCAGGTCTAGAGCGAGGATGGCTCTCGGGGAGTTACGTGTGGCTGAGACAAGGATGTCCTCTTTGAGTTGAATAAGCGCGTCCTGGGTACCGAGGTGTTTCCTGAATCCAAACATCGTGACCGGCATTTGTTGCGTTGCATCGAAATGGTTCTGAAGTCTCTTCAGTATGATTCTCTCCATGATTTTGCCAATACAGGACGTAAGAGAGATTGGTCTTAGGTTCTCAATATGTGGCGATTTGCCGTGCTTTGGGATGAAGTGTACCTCCGCCATCTTCCATTGATCCGGGATTTTTCCTGTAGTCCAGAAGCTGTTAAAGTGGTTGAGCAGGGTATCCATGGTGCGGTCGTCTACATTGAAAAGGGGCTTATTATTGATTTTGTCTGGACCCGGGGCACTGTTCCGCTTACTCTCCGCTATTGCCTCTCGTAGCTCGTACAGTTGGATATCTTTGTCTAGTTCTTGATTGGGCGATCCGTCATACGAAAGGGAGGAATAGACTCCCCCCGTCGGGAGGTACTTCCTTGCCAGGTCCTTTAGAAGTTCTTCGCTGCTACCCGCGTAGGCATTGAGTGTGAGCGTCATGTTTCTGTTAGACTCTCCTCTACTTTTCAGGGGGTCGATTAAGTGCTGAAGCAGATGCCATGTTTTCTTTGTGGTCAGGGTGCCTTGTAGGCTGTCGCATTCTTGTAGCCAATTCTCCTTGCATAGCGCAGCTGCGTATTCAGCAGCCTGTTGGTTTATGAGAGCTATGCGCTTCTTGAGCTTTCTGTTGTGTCTTTGCCGTTTCCATCTTCTTGTGAGGCTGTGTCGTGCTTCCCAAAGATGAAGTAGTTTAGGATCTACATACGGTGTTCTGTATGAGGTGGCAATAGTCTGCCTGTGCGTTTCGGAATCTTTTAAGACCTCTTGGATCAGTTCTTCGTA